ATGGAATTTTATATGGAAACTTATTAATAATTTAAATTATATATATATATTTGAATTTTTTAATTTTTTGCATATGCACCCATATAATTTATCTGAATTAATAATTAATTTAGAGAGCTGATATTTCCACATCCTTACTCATTTTAAAATTTGATTGACAATCACCTAATAAAATTCAATGAATTTTTATTTGAATTTTACATTCTGTTAGCATTCAAATAAAAAAACTTATCGAATTTCATTGAGTAGTAGTTGATCAATTCATGAGAAATTCGCCGTGGCTTGTTTAAAAAAAAAAAACGAATTTTGTAGCACCTTTACAAAGCACAAACAAAAAAGGAAAAATATGCGAGTAAAAATGTATAAGATGTTAAATTAGTAACATCATGTTATTACGCATTACCTGTTATATCTAATTATTCATTTGAACTGGGCGCAATTTCTAGTTCTAATCATATCCTTGGGGCTATCGTTAGATGGTCTTTATTATTATAATATTTCACTATTTTTCAAATACATAAAGTCAATAGTTAATTATACACCTTGGGGCTTTGCTACAATGATTAGAATCTCTAACCAATATGACTATTTAAAGTATCGGGGATTTATGACTAAAGATGAGTAATTCATACTCATTTTATGACTATGACTTTAGTTCCCACCATTGAATATAAGAGGCATCTTACTATTGTTCTTCAATGGAGCATCGCCTCAAGCCAAACCCGAATTGGCATTTATTAAATTCCTTCGCTTTTGACGATCAATGCGCATTTCAGGTCCCTTGAATCCCGTTTTTCTCTGCGGCTGGGTCACGTTACCCTTTCACAACGTATGTACGTACGTACGCACGTACAAGCAAAGAGGTCGGCCTGATCGACTGACCCGAGCTTTTTGTGATCGACTCCGGTACGTACATGATTTTTTCACCAGCCCGTATCACTAATTGAATACAAAAAGGATTTCTGCAAATTTTGCAAGTTTTGTTACCGCTTTTTAATGCATCATTTAAACCTAGTGTTGGACGATGATGTTATATGACTTACATGACTTATATGATTTGTCATATTACAATCGTGTCACATATTAATAATATGATATGATTCTATATCATATGACATATTAACATCGCCCAACATTGTTTAAATCAACAGGTAAATAGATCTATTAATGCTTTTAGGCTAAAATCTCTGAAGTTTGTGCTGTCGGTTGATCAAACTCGAATTTTCGTTGTCATGAACTAACCTAGTATTATATATAGACGGCATATTAAAATCGATAATACATTTGTAACTAGTTTACAATTTCTAGTAATGGCCATCTTCTCGTATAAGCTTCATATTCGTCAATTAGAATGATACCGTGTTTAATTAATTATCTTTACAATTTTTTGGATATATACTGTTAATGCTCAATATATAACATTGGCCAGAGCTGGAAAAGAGATGCTCTTCCTACTGCCACATCTATAATCGCAACTGTAACCACATCTATCACTTTTGAACCATCTTTAACGCAATGGTTTTTTCCGATTCAATTGAAATCTGTCTTAAACATTGAATATACCAATTGACTTAACATCTAATTTACTTTGGGTTGAACGAATTTGCATGAGTCCATATGGAAATGCTTGTAGCAATCGAACAACAAACTTTTTTCAATACACCTCTTTCGAATTTTATCTCTGACGATTATGCAAAATTCACGATTGAATATGTCAACGGAAGTGATACAATTATAATTAATACTCAACCATTCGAACAAATGTCATTTGGATTATCTAAAGATATAAAAGGAAACGATAACATCGTCATTCCGAATCAGTGTTTAAAATTCAAAAAAAAAAAAATCACTTGCACAAATGTATTTTGTGCAACTTTTTTAAAAAGCTTTACTTGCACACTTAAAAGATTTTTTAAAAATCCAAAAAATTCCAAAAAAAAAACTTGCACATGTGCAAGCCAATTTTAAACCCTGTTCCGGATACAATTACTGGACATTTATTACGCCTTACGAAAATGTAATTAATTAATTATTTGCTATCTATTTATTTTTATTTTGTTTTTATAATATAAATTTATAATATATATCAGATATATGTATTAAAAAAAGGTGTTTATTAATACTTATCCTTTTTTTAATACGAGTTTGTTAAAATTTAGAATAAAGTGCATTTTCGCCAAAATTTAGAAATAAATAAAGTTAGAGACTATAATAAGAATTAGATTATCGGTTTAAAATTTAATCTCATATATAGTTCTGAACATTTTTGTTTAGTACTTTTGACTTTAATTATTCAAAAAGAATATTTTATTATAGCTTTACTAAAATACGTAAATAAAAATTTGTACAATCTAACCTAATTTGGCCTGCATTTATAAATTTTTTGGCCCGTCTCGGTCTGACCCGCAAAACGGGTTGGCCGGGCCACTAACCCGATGCAGGCCTTTGCCACATTCTATCGTATAATTGGATAAATGAATTTCTTTAACAGAGTGGCGTATCTAATAGTCGGACATCTAAAGTCCGGCGAAATTTCTTGAATAGATAAGAATAGATAAAAATGACTAAAATTTAACATTTAATGGTGTAACACATTATTAGTCAGCGCGTTATAATACGTTACACTAGTGGTTAGTGCGTACACACTATGTTGCTGCGCGAACAATACAAATGTGAATATTTGGTTTATCTTTGATCACTTTTATTTTGCATGAATGCATTTAACTTTTGTTATGCATAAATGTCGTTTACAATGAATGTAATAAATGCTTGAATACTTATCGGTTATATTACCCCGTATATAGCATTCACATACGCACGTATATGTTATTAAGTAGCATAATTGTTTGCCATACGATGATCACAAATGTATATAAGCTTTTTTGTTTGCTTAATCACAAATGTATATAAATTTTTTGTTTGCTTACGAACTTCTCAATTTATGTAAACAATCTCTTCTTATCTTAAACCAAAAAAATAAAAATAACCCAAAAAATAAAGTAAAAAAATAAATAAATGGATTCAAATTATCCTTTTCCAAGCTACCTTCGCGATAGTCCTTTATATAAATACAATCAAAATAATACATATTCATGCATTACCTTACCTACTCGTTGGAATCCTGATGACTGTGGTCCTTGTGTTGTAGTCATTGATGAAAAAAAATTAACAGTTAAACATACTGGTCCGGGTACTAATCCAATAGAAGCTGTTTCAATTCGTGCAAATAATCATATCCCACCAGAAGTCGGCTTATATTATTTCGAGATGACAATTATGGATCGCGGTGATCGAGGGTAAAAATTTTAAATCATTAGACTATTTTGATTTTTTTTTTAGATATAAGTTTATATATTTAAATTCTGAAAATTTTATTTTATTATTAGATATATTGGTATTGGTCTTAGCAAGCTCGGAACTCCTCTCAATAAAATGCCAGGTTCGACCTAAATTTCATATGCATAGTCCGATTTCTAAAACAGTAGCATTTTATAATGTTCATAAAAAAAATAGGATGGGGAATAGACACAATTGGATATCATGGAGATAATGGTCGTTTATATCGTGAACGTGAAAGAGGTGTAAATTTTGGACCTCTTTATACCACCGGAGAGACCGTTGGTTGTGGAATTAATTTTTTTGACAACGAAATTTTTTTCACAAAAAACGGTATCCTCCTAGGTAAAGAATTATTGTTTAAACTTGAAAAGAGGATATATCCCACATGTGGGATGGCAAGTCCAAACGAATGTGTATTGGTTAATTTTGGCACCGATCCTTTTATATTTCCCATTGACCTCTATGCAAAGGTTTGAGTTTTTTTTATTTTTGTAATAAGATGTTAATATAATTCTTACCTAATTTATTTACCTTTTTAAATTATAGAGAATGTTTTCTAAAGCCGAAAAATGTAAATGATGATACTGAAATAATAAAAATATCTGATTTTGTCATAAATGTATTGTATTTAAGGCAATAGCTAATTCGGACACGAAATGTCATGATTATAAAACCAAGCAAATATTATGAATGCTATCACTGAGTATAATAATAATATTATTATAGTAGCGTTCTAATCTGCTCCATCCTGTAGATAGCACAGAATTAGAACAATTGGATACTATATATTGTTAGCTTCTATGCCAAGAAAATCTTTATTTCCTATACTAAGTGTAGTTCTTACAGTATAACGATTTGATTTAACTAAATAAAGTTAGATATATTTGTTATAACAAAGTTTTTTTTTTATCGTGCTTTTCAGATTATTGTGACAGCATTTAGGATCGCTCTTTATGCAAAATCTGCAAAATCTTTTTTTTTTTTTTTTTGCGAATAAACTTAATTATTGCTTACGTAGAAAATTTTCCAGACTTTTCAATCTTCTATTTCATGTTATTGGTTGGCCAGGCAATATGAAAAAAAGAAATAAGAATAGTCCGCAAAACCAAGCTCTTTGAAACTGTAACTGGTAGTACAGTAAACACATAAAACACTCTAATGTACTTTAATTTGTCCATATAGTGAAGATTTCATGCAGTGTATAGCTTATAGATCAAAATTTTTTTGATTATTATAAAAAAATTTAGTAATAAATAAAATCAATTTTATGTGATCGATCAACATTTCTAGTATAGTCATGTGTACTATGGTTGTTATGGACAAATGAAGGCATTTATATTTTATATATGTAGCAAACTATTAGTAGAAAGAGTTAGTTATATTTTATGCCAAAATTTTGCTAATATTTTTTTTGCTGAGCTCGAAATGTGGTTTCATAACCAAAATTTTGTTATTATATGAGTGCCACCAAAAGAAAATCTACAATCGGGCATTCAAGTATATTTTGTGTACAGTTGGTTATCTTATCTTATCTGTGCGCCGCCTATGGTAATTCTATGTACGATGATAGATTTACCATAGACGGCACACAGATAACCAACTGTACGCAAAATATACGTGTTGTGCACTAGTGTACAAATAGTAATTACCTTTAAATTTATTAAATCAAAATTCATCTATTAATCAATCAAAAAATTTTCACTATCAAAACACATAACTCAGTGAAATGAGGCTTATTTCGATGCCCGAATATTATTCGCCTATTCCACTCTCTATTCTCAATCCACACGAATTAAGATCTTTATCAAACAAAAATTAGGATACATTTACAATATAACAGTTTTTTCAACTCGCAAAATTATCACATCATAATGTGAATTTATTTGAAGATTTATATAAATAAAATAATTATCCATGCAGTAGGTTTAAGCACTTGATTTTACTTATTGTAATATACTAATTTTTTAATAAATAAAATTTTACTAAAGCATATAGTGTATCATATCTAGGCTAAATGTCAAATTCCGTCACAAAATGGTTTATAATACAGTAATAACATTATAATATGTTTAAGTCTAATATTATAATAAAATAATTATACAATATTTAAATAATTATACAGTATTTAAAATCTAGCTTACAATAAATGTTATATAGCATAATTTTCATAGTGAATAAAATGGGTTTTGTCATATTCTACAATGGAAAGAATATTAAGACAAGTTGAATAATTTGTCTTATTATTTACTTTCGCTCTATAATGATAATGAGTGTGTTTTTTTTTTTAGTAAGAAACTTTCAAAAATTTCATTCGAAAGTATAATTTGGTTTAGATTTTTTTTAACCATTCTTGATACTTTTCTTCGTCTTTAGAAGTTCCTATACCATACTTATAACAATGGGCAAGATTTTCTTTTCCTAAAATGTTTCCACCTTCTGCCGCCTTCGAATACCATTCAAAAGCCTTTATTGCGTTCATCGAAGTTCCTGTACCTAATTCATAAAAATTTCCTACTTTATTTTGTCCACCTGCATTTCCATCTTCTGCAGATTTTAAGTGCCAATTAAATGAATGGGAATAATTTTTAATAACTCCATGACCAAAAAAATAACACTCTCCAACGTAAAATTTTCCTAAATTTGATCCCTTGACAGTTGATCTTAAAAACAATTTTAGTGCTTTTTTGTGATTCATTGCGACACCTTTTCCATTTATATAAAGTAATCCAAGAAAGATTAATCCTATTTGTTGATTTTCTTTCAGTAAATTTTTTACTAAAAAATCTTTATTTTGATTATTTGAAGAATCGGAAATAATAAAATAAAAATCTTTAGATGCTTCTTTATACATATTAAGTGCTTTGTTATAATCAACACTTACTCCAATTCCATATTCATAAAAGAATCCCATAATACTAGTAAAGTAATGTTTATAGTTATGATTATAAAATCGCTTGAAAACCTCACTTGGAATTTCATCATTATCATCTATAAATCTTTTCACACTGTGAATTATGGAACTTAACGAACTTTCTATAATACCTTGCATATTCAATTGAGCTATAAAGAATCGATTTAAATTATAAAGAAATTCCTGTCCGTCATTTATACTGGTTAGTGAAAGTGGTAATGAACTAGTTAAATTTAATATAGCTTTTTGGTTACTAATTTCGTTCGAATCTTTTTTAAAGATTTTAATTATTAAAGAAAGTAATTCTAATTCTTTGTCTATTTTATCATGTAAACTATTATAATATTTTAATGTTTCTGTTGTATTTAAATTTTCTGACCTTAATTGATTCTTACTCTCTTTATTCTCATGACATTTTGTAAAAATTTCTTCATTAATTATATTATCATAATTAATAGAATTTAAGTCTTTATAAACTTGTTGAACAGTTGGTCGTTTATCTGAATCATGCTGCCAACATTCTATAAAGAAAAGAAAAGAATTCTTATTTATATTTTATTCATCATACATATATAATAATAATGAACGTATAACTTAAATTACCTGTATAGGTTTTAATATAATTTTTGAGTGATCCAATAATTGCATCTTCCCGCTTACCATGAATGATTGCTTTTAATAAAGTAAAGCTATAAGGTGGTTCTGATTCAAATGGAATAATTCCGCTTGAAATTTCCCAAAGGAGAACTCCAATACTATATATATCGGAACTTTTGTTTAGTTTGTAATTAGCAGGGTTTTGTAAATATTGAGGGTCAATATACTGAATATATTTAAACCTTTTTGAAATTTTATTCTGATTCCGAAAAACACAAACTTTAATATCTCCTTTGTGAACAAATACTTTTTCGGAATTCTAAATTTTAAAAATTATAATTATTATAAAGTCAATTGGTAAAAACTTCAATTATTATAACGTCAATTGCTAAAAATTCAATTATTCAATCCTGTACATACCAAGTTCATATGAACTATATCATTTTCATGTAAGCATTTAATAGCGCTAACAAGTTGTTTAGCAAGACGTAACTTGTCATTCCAATTAATGCTGTTAAAATTTTCTTTTAAATATTTGGAAAGTGTTCCATTAAATGCATATTCATGAATGAATAAAATTTCATTTACGTTTTGCTTAATAATTGCTATAAATTTTAAAATGTTTTCATGTAATTCTATTTTTTGATATTGGTTTATCTAAATAATTAAAAATATAATAAGCGCTTTGATAATCAATAAACAATTAATACATTTTTTTTAATAGGCTATAATTCAAAACTTACGTTATTAACAAAATCACTTAGTGAATACTTTGGCGAAAAGGTTATTTTGTTTAACACTATAGTTTTACTGTATTTTATAGAGAAAACTTTATAACTATTTCTAGATAGCTTTGTACCATCAGTTTCGAAATTTTCAAAAGTATCATGTGAAAGAAATTTAACATTGTATTGTTCAAAATTGTTTAATTCCGCCATTTCTAAAAATCATTTCTAGAATTTCTGATCCATATTTATATTAATCAATTGAAAAGATAAAAAAAGAAAAACAAGAATCACGTATATCATAAATTACAATCGTACATTTAATAATGAAACGAAAGCAGAGGGGAATAATAGATCATACGTATGTGCGTTTAACAAGTTATGACCACGCCTATTTTTAGATTAGATTATTATCGATTTATCTAATAATAAATATTTATGTTTCTATTTTTAGCTAATCGGGATTATATGTAAATGATCTTTCTTCAAAAGGAAAAGATTTTACAAATAATGGTGCCACTAAAATTAATATTACGTATACGTAACAAAGCTTTACGATCAGGTCTATGAAATTTACTTCAAAAATTAGCCATTACGGCATATTTGCGGAATTAAGCAGACAATTGGTCGCAAAATTCAAGCATTTGACCCCAAAGCAAATTTATCAATCAACGTTAAGTCCCGAAAAAAAATTTCGAATCTCTGATTTATACCGATAATCGCGTCTAACCCATCTTCTCAATATTTAAACCCATCTTGACGCACCTCATTAGACATAGAGTTATATAAATAACGATGCATCCTAACCGGGGATGTTGATTAGCACAGTCAAAAAATCAATATACCAAATTAGTAGTAAAGACTTTAAATTATAAACGGGTTAGAAATTTTTTAATCTGATATCATAGTCGGTTTTAACTGGATTTATATTAGTGGTAAATCCTCATTGTGTAATCAGGAAAAACTTTTTTTATAATATCCAATTGTTATAAAGAAAGTTGACACAATTTAAAAAAAAAAATTTGAACCCGAATTAGGAATATGCAACGTGCATGTACAGTTAGGGTAAATCAAATCATAGTCGGGGTGTATATAATGAAAATCCGAAATTACTGCGGCTAA